CCCATATATAGTTTCGTCCGATTTCATGTAAATGGTGCCCCAAAGTCCCAATATATCTTTCGATTTGCACGAAATTTGGCATAACGTACTGAATTAAGCCTAGAGTGATGTCTGCCAAGTTTCGAGAAAATCGGTCCAGATTTAGATATAGCTCCCATATATAGTTTCGTCCAATTTCATGTAAATGGTGCACCAAAGTCGCTATATATCTTTCGATTTGTACGAAATTTGGCATAACGTACTGAATTAGGTCCAGAATGATGTGTGTTAAATTTCCTGAAAATCGGTTCAGGTTTAGATATAGCTCCCATACATATTTTCGTCCGATTTTAGGTAAATATTGCACCAAAGTCCCTATATATCGTTAGATTTGCACGAAATTTGGCATAGCGTACGGAATTAAGTCTAGAACGATGTGTGTAAAATTTCGTGAAAATCGGTTCAGATTTAGATATAGCTCCCATATATATTTTCGTCCGATTTTATGTAAATGGTGCAACAATGTCCCTATATATCCTTCGATTTGCACGAAATTTCGCATAGCATACTGAACTAAGTCTAGAACGATGTGTGTTAAATTTCGTGAAAATCGGTTCAGATTTAGATATAGCTCCCATATCGTCCGTCCGTCCGTCCGTCTGTCCATTATAATTTGTAAACACGATACAGGCCACAGTTATGGACCAATCTTCACGAAATTTTGCATGTAGGATGGGTTCTGGCCAATGAAGACCCCTATTGTTTTTGGAAAAGATCGGTTAATATTTAGGGGATGAAATGGACCAAATACTAAATTTTTGTCGGTTTTTCTGGTCGCTCCAGAGGCCGCAATTATGGCCCAAACACCGCGAATTTTTGCATGGAGAAGGGGATCGGGTCAGAGAATAAGCATGCATGTTTTGATAAAGATCGGTCAATATTTAGCGGGTCAAATGGACCCTGACTTTTGTGTGAAAAATGACAAAATTTGTATTCTATGGCATATATATTTACTCCTGGAGGATGTAGACCCCAGGAGTTGATAGCATATCCAAGAGGAGTGGTTGGCCCTTAAATTGATACCAAATATAGTGATGTATCTACTCAGATGTGGGAGTTACAGTCAAATATTTACAGGTGCTTACGTATTCAGATATTATTCAGTAACCCATTACCACATTAGAGGGAGAAATATCGCGCTGATGGCTTTGACATTTTTCATGAAGTTCCAGTTATGGTCAAGAACAACGCCTACAATTTTCGGTGATGATCAGATTAAAATTTTGGGATGAAATGGACCGAAAACATAATTTTTTGTGTGTTTTCGAGTAGAGTATAATCCGAAAATCACAACACAACCCACCGTGAAGGTAATCTGGACAAGTAATTAGAAGGACTGTACTGAATATTCGAAAAAAGTAAGGAAGAGGTGTTGTTGACCTCTAATCGGACAAGAGGGGGCAAATATCACGAAATATTACTCAGACTCGGAATAAACATCCTCAGAAAGTTAGAGTTCGTAGTAGTTGTGTAGGGTATCGCATGGTCGGCCCCGTCCGACTATACTGCTCCGCTCACTGGTTTAAATTTGCATATTTTTGCCCACAAACTAAGTTAATAAATAAGTTTTTCATTGAATGGCTTTATCCTAGAAACGTGTCAAAATTTGGAACCGATTGGATTATTAGTTTTTGAGTTATCGATCCCGCCATTCGTAAAACACTGCTTCGAGAAAAATTCGTTTAAAGTTTGAGAATCACTCTTGCCGTCACTTGATGCTGACTCAGTAAGAGATTTTCACTTGAAATTTTGTACGGACATTCTTGAATTAGTGTAGATTCGAAAAATTAAATAAAATTTGTTGACACCGAGAATGAGGGGGGGACCCCCCTCAAATGGTGTAAATGGTGTAAATTTTGCACAATGTACAAAATTCAGTATAAAATGACGTTATTGATTTTTGTACAAATTCAGATATATCCCTTATATTCGACCGACTTCATGTTTATTGGGTTTCAAACAATCAACGAGTGTCCGATTGAGATTTACTTTAAATCAATTTACTTAATTTTGTCTCATTATCTATCTAGCCAAATGAAGATTTTAGTATAGGTTACAGAATGACATTCCTATGGATTGATCTAAGTCGGTTCACATTTAGATATAGATCACATATTTAAGTTCATCCAATTTCATGTCATTCATCATTCATCCAATTTCGGCCCCGTCCGACTTCACAGCTATTCTTACTGGTTTTTTATTGTCTACATTTGTTCTAAACAGCTAATATTAGTTTATAGTAAAAATTGGCAGGTCACAATTTATAAAGCTGGGTCTGAAAGGATTGAAAACGTGCCGAAAATAAAAAATAGAAAATCCGAGGTACCGTTGTATGGAGCTATACCTTCAACCGAATTTTGTTTAAAAACGCTAAGTGTGAAGCTCTGCTGGACCTTAAAAAAACAGTACAGCGGATCTGATAGTCATTGAAAATATATGCATTGGAAAAGCCCAAGCTTGCTTGATTGTCTGGAAAAATTATCACTTGCAGTTCTTGTGGTCTTTAAAAATCCACGTTTGCAGCTCTGAAGGTCCTTAAAAATTATCCTGGAAACAAAGTTTTTAAAAAATCAATGTTATTGTCATATCTAGTAGATAATCAAGATGATGGTCGTAGATAATAAATTCGTTAAAAATTCACGGGGCAGTTAAAAAAATTCAAAATAATTTTTAAAAAGTCCACGATTGCTACTCGTATGATCCTTTAATTCTACTCATGTTGGTCGGTTTATAAAAATTATATTCTATAACAAAATTAAAAGAACAGGAACTCTAAAAATCGTCCCAGACTTCCAACTCGTAGACTAATTACCTATATCAAAATCCATTAATTTCTATCCCTACTCTACTTTGTCTATGAAGAACCCGTTCAATTTGTAAATAATTCGTTAATCTCAAATCTAAATACTTTGTTCTGTTCTTTATTTTCTTTAAGAGTCGTTTTATTTCGACTCCTAACGTTACTTCGTCTATAAGGAATCCGTTCAATTTGTCAATAAAGAATTCCTTAAGCTCGTCTTCAACTATTCTATAGAGGTCTTCAGTTAGTCTATAATGTTTATTTTGAAATGGTGTGTAAAGGTTCGCAGACTCGCTTCAGTTAGTGTATAAAGACTCCCAGAGTTTTTTCGTCGACCAGGACTCTTTGCTTTTTAGCAAGACTACGAGACTCCGTCGATATATACCCTCCGAATCTAAAGACAAAAAATCCTTCATTACGTCTGCCAAGAGTCTCTGATTCTTCAGCTGAAAAATATGGATTTCCTGTGCTCCATAACGAAAGTTGTGCCGATGCAGACATAGCTTCCATATTTCGAACGCCTGACTGATTGGGATTAAATTTACAGAAATGCATGTGTATGGATTAATGTGAGTAGGTTCCTTTTTAGATAATGAACACATACGTAGATTATACCCAAAGTGGTGAAGGGTATCATAAAGTCGGCCCAGTCCGGCTTTACTATTTTCCTTACTGCTTTTTTATTGTTTTAATAGACAAAGTAGCTTTGAACAAGGCTTGGCGTTATTGGACGCCATCGCTAAAGAAATATGTATTTTACATGGACTTTAGTACACCATTTACATTAAATCGGAACTATATCTAAATCTGAACCGATTTTCACGAAACTAAACACACATCATTCTAAACTTTACGCAGCACGCTATGGTAAATTTCGTGCAAATCCAAAGATATACTCCACCACCACTTAAACTAAATCGGGCGAAAATATATATGGGAGCTATATCTAAATCCAAACCGATTTTCAAGAAACTTAACACAACATTCTAGACTTAATTCAGTATGCTATGCCAAATTTCGTTAAAATCGAAGGATATACAGGGGCTTTACCATTTACATGAAATGGGACGAAAATATATATGGGAATATAATGGGACCTGTACTTTGTTTACAGTTTAAAATAGGCAGACATATGGACGGACATGCATAAATCGACTCAGAAAGTGATTTATGCATATTCTCAAAAGGAAACGAGATAGATACATTCTCGTTTCCTTTGGCCTGTTACAAACTGCACAATGACAGTTGTGCCCTGTGCCACACTATGTTGAAGGATATAAATATTTAAATCGAACGCATAGTATGTCATATGTATACTCAGTGAATAAGTTACATCTATACCTATTAGTTAAATTATGTAAAAAAAACAACAAATATAAAACATTACTTATAATTCTAAATGTAGTTTTGTGCCATGCTATGATTTTATTAGAAAAAACTAATAAAAATTATAATCTTCAAAATCAGTATTATAGAGTCAAATAGAGACAAACAATTTGGATTATTGATTATTCGCAATTAGTTGCGAATCAGCGAGGTACGGATTATAGATATTTTAGTGTATCTTTCGTGTTCGTGATTAGTTGAATAATCACATCCTTACCCTTGACGACGAATTGTTTTTTTTTACAGAATTGTTGATAGCAATATGAAATCTCCATTGTTACTTATTTTGTTTCAAAATATGTTTACCCAAATATTTTAACATGATTTTCCAAGAGTTCAACAATGCAAATATCACCCATGTGAATGAATACTCACATGTCAGACAAGTTTTCCCAAGCAAAACCCCAAATAAAGCAATGAAAAAACTCCTTAAATTTAAATTCACACACATTCACAAACAACAATGGAAAATGAAAATTGAAATTATGGAAATATTTGATAACTTAAAAAGGCGAAAGTCAACTAATTTGCACTTCAAACCATATATCCCCTGAAACAAAGTGTGATTGACTGGGATGTGTTGGTTTGTAAGTGAATGTGTGTTTCTTTGATGTTTTCCATTTTGAGATTTTTCCAAATAAAATTAAATAAGTAAATGATAGCTGCAGCGACTTCGACGAACAAATGTAACAAGCTTTCACTCTCCATATAAAATATACTTGACGTTTTTTTTTATAATTTTAATGGAAATTGTATTTTTTTGTTTCTCTTACAGGTCGTGGTAAAATGAAGAAAATGATGGGCATGATGATTATGGGAATGGCCATGAAAATGATGGGCATGATACCCGTTGCCATGGGTATGCTGTACATTTTGGCCGGCAAGGCGTTGATTATATCCAAGATAGCTTTGCTGTTGGCGGGCATCATGGGTTTGAAAAAGCTGTTGTCAGGAGGTGGCAAGTCAAGCGGCAGTTCTTCTTGGTCCTCCGGTGGTGGTGGTGGCGGTTGGTCATCCGGCGGTGGCGGCAGTGGTGGCTGGGACAGACGTTCCCTAACCGAAGCTCAGGAGTTGGCTTATCGCAGTTATGCAAAACAGTACCAACAACAGCAGCAGCAACAAGTCCAACAACAACCGTTAAAATCATCAAGCGATAAAAAACTGTAAACGGGACCAATAGCCAACAAAACACAAAAAAAAAACGGAGCAGTAAACCGAACGATGACAATAAAGACACTAACCTAGTAGAGCTTGTTCCAAATGAAAAAATCAATTATCTTATAGATAATTTATTATTTTTCGCTCACAAAACGCAATGACACTGTGTAATTAACATAAAATTATAGTTCACAAATCTCAACTTCCAAATAGTCTAATAATGGTTACGCTATCGCCGCGGTGGCACGCTTCAAGCCTCATTCCCGTATTTACAATATATTCGGCATTATTCTGCAATCAGACCTCAATTTCCAATACCTCTGCTGTACATCAGAGAAAATAGATTTTCCATTAGTGTTCGTTTCGTTTTTTTCTGTCTTTTTCATAGGCCTTGCGCCTCTCCGGATAACAGTTATTTGTGAATTAGTTTTCATATCAAATTTCTCTGTTTTCTATTCTGTATCAACTGTCTATCACTCTGACTGTGGAAGAAGATGTTTTTCTTCTTTGGTTTGGTTTTCAATTAAACTCTAACGTTTCTTTGCATCTGCTACTTGGAAAAGCGGCAGCAACTTCAAGTTCAACTTTGAACTTTTAGCCATGTTTGCGTGCAACAACTACAAGCAAGAAAGCAAGCCCATACCGGTGGTGATATCAGTCTCAACTATCTCTTGCCACTCAACTTTGGCATGTTCTGTCTGTGCCACACGCTCGCTCCATCTTCTAATGCTGCTGCGTGTTGTTGATGTGGAAAAATGTAATCTGGTGTCTCTCTGCCCCTATCCCATTTTCGTTTTTATTATTTTCACACTTCTCTGTATCATCTCCAAACAAAGAAAAAACTCCGCATTTCTTCAGACTAACTTTTAACTGTTTCATTCACATCTTCATCTTCATTGTGATCCGTCCAGCAACTCGGAATTGCTTCCTCATTATTTTTCATCTGCATCTTGGCTTCCATTTATTCTCCATTCAAAAGCATCGTTTCTTTTAATCCGTTAGTCATATAAGAAATGTTTGAATAATTTAATGTAGTTTTTAAGAAAAATGTTCAGACAAAGATTATTAACTTTTCTTTTGTATGTGTGTATGTGTTTTTACTGTTTGTTTTGTTTCTTGATTTCTTCTTACGAAGGAAATTCCAAAGGAAAGCTATTGTCCGTACAATTTATTTAGTTTCTTACTTTGACTTGACAACACAAAGACATATCACAACTGTGCTACGTATTACTCTAAACTATTTATATTTTATTTATTTATTTAATGTATTTATTTAATTTAATTTATTTATAGCATGTTTTTTTCGAAAATAAAAGTTCAGCATTTAAAAGCAAATAAAAAAGTTTTTTTTTCTTCATTTTTGTTTATCTTGTTTAATGGTTATAAATTGCAGACATGCGATTTACAGGTAAGGAAGAAGGTGCATGATGATTGAATGAAAATAAATGCTATACTTTTAGAACAACTAAAGAATCAAACAATTTTGAATCTTTTCTCGTATCAATATTAGATATATTTCTTTAGAGAAAGAAATAGGACTGAATAATTAGCCGACTATCCTCCAATATTGAGGTAACACCGAATATTGACGAATCGTTTGCGTTTTGATATATTAATTACAAAATAGAAGGTCATTGGAATGCTACGTATTACTCTTATTACGAATTTTAGGAATATATTTTTTTTTTTTTTGACAGTCACCAGACATTAAGGCTTTTAAAAGAAGAAAAACTTGAGTTTATACCAAAAATAAATCTTACATCAATTTCCAGTTATAAGTGTCATGTAGCAAACGAGAAAAAGTTGATCAACTAGAACTACCCGAATTATTCCAATACTAATATTGATTCTAAATCTGAACAGATTTCAATGAAACGTAACACACCTATTTCTAAACGGTACGATATATAAACGTTGGTCTCAACCGAAGATCATTGGAACTTTATTGTATTACATATTACAAAATCAAACAAAACTTTATAAAAACTATATCAGATAGACGAGTCAGAAAGTGATTGTTGGTATATCCTGAAAAGTAACTACCTTGTTTCCACCAAGAGATAATACCAGGTACCACATTATGGTGAAGAGTGTAATGAAAAATATATTCATTTATTTCATTTATCCTAGTGATATGCGTATGATAATTTGTAATAGTCACTTTTTTTATACAACATAAATCATCTATATGTAAGAATTTTTAAAATGGATTTTGTCAAACTTAAGATGGGAGAGTCCCAAAACAAAAAATCACAAATTTCTTTGTGTAAATGTCATTTTTTGAACGCGACAATTCAACCTGAAACACCATATCCATATTCCGAAAGTAATTGAGGTTGTCTTCGACAGCCTCTTTTTGTGTGCGAAGGACAAATACATTAAATAGAAGTTGAAAGCAGTACACCGTGAAGGCAGATCCAGATTCTGAATGAGTCCTTCATTAAATTAGACATTAATAATAAGTGGATCGAACCTAAAATAACGTGTATCAAATTTATCTTAAATCGGTTAGGGTTTTGATTAGGTCCCATTCGTTATTTTGTGCTTTGCAGATTTGTTCAAATCAGATCAGTTTAGATATATCTTCAAATTTCCAACGTTTGTTTGCCAATGATCTAAGGTTTGATTATGTTTTGGTAAAGCTTACTGCTCGCTTAAATCGGTTCAGATTAAAATACAGCTCCTATACATAATTTCGTCCAATTTCATATAAGTGGTGCACGAAAGATACAAATACTTCCGAATTAAGTATAGAATGATGTACATAAATTATTACTTGAATTAATTTATATAGGACCCATATATCCACTTACACTAACATATTTTGAATTTCGAAAAATCATTGAACCCCATTAGGAAAATACCTTTCGATTGTAGTCAATCATAGCACGATAATCTGATCTGCTGGACATTGTTGTAATATTTGACAGAAGTTTTGAAACACATTTTGATTGGTAAATGCACATGTTGAATTCGGTCCGTATAGGCCCATACCTATTCCAGTTTTTCATAACTGGTTGCGAACCGTACGTTTGCGCAATTTTTTATATAACAATATCATAGACTCACAGTCTTGTGTCTGTAACTGGATCAAAGAATGAGAAAAACAAAGTCATGGAAAAATTACCATTCATATAACCTAAGAATGGCGAATCTCGCAGCACATCTGCTGTTGAAAGCTCTGTTTTACGTAGAAATAATCTGTAATATTTTATTTAACAAAATCCGATTTATATCCCATTGGCAAGATCAAGAACACCTCTTCGTTTACAATACTTTTTTAAAAGGTAGTTTCATGGTTTCTCAAGAGTCTAATGTCATTTTGTGCAACTACAAGTGTTTGTGACTACACACAATATAGGTCATAAACCCACGTTTAGTACGTTTTCGTAATACATGTTAAAGTTTTTTCCATCTGGCAACTCCCTACAGAAACATTTTTTTTTGTTATTTAGTTTGTAAGCTCAAATGAGATTTTAACAATCATCAAAATTGTATTCCCGGATCAAGGAATTTTAACCAATAGGGGAGTCTGGGGCACATTCGGCACTTTTTTAAAGCTCTATATCTCAGTACTTATTCAACAGATATAAAAACTTTATGGCTGATTATTGTCCTTTGATACTTAATATTAATAGCTAGTACTAAAAAAATAAAACAAATTAGTATTAGGTAAACATTTTACAGTTTTGTAAATAAAGTCAAATTCACCGAATGTGTCCCTCCCGGCGTAGCTTCGGCATTTTATTGGGCACATTCGGCACCATAGTCATAGCCTTGCAATTATCATTGCTATGAGTCTGGTTGGAATTCAGATCCTCTAAATGTTCCATTTTGTTTTAATATGCGACTCTATGCTTGATTTTTAAGGCTATATTTTCTAGCGGCGGACGTCGACGTCTCAGGCCCACACGCACCATCAGAAATAGTTTGTTTCTATCACATTTTCGTTAATACAAGAACTTTTGGTCTTATATATGTAGTTTGGACAAAATGGCCGAATGTGCCCCACTCTAAAAGACCGAATCTACCGAAGGTACTTTATATACTTTTTCCTATCAATCTCCTAAATATATATATATATTACAGTTTTGTAAAAATGTCAAATTCGCCAAATGTGCCCCTACCTGGGGTAGCTTCGGCATTTTATGGGGCACATTCGGCACCATAGTCATAGCGTATTAATTATGATTACTATGCGTCTGGTGGGAATTCAGATCCTCTAAAGGTTCTATTTGGTTTTAATACACGACTTAATGTGTGCCTTTTAAGGCTATATTTTTTAGCGGCGGAAGTTGACATCTCAATGTCACACCAGAAATAGCTTTGGATATCATCCGTTGGGCTATGTCTGTACTTCTAGAAAACGTAACTACGTTATTCTAGACTCAATTTTGTACGTAGTGCAAAATTTGATGTCAGTCTGACAAACATGAGGAGTTGGATGCACAATTTACCTTAAATCGGACGAAAATATATATGGAAGCTATATCCAAATATGAACCGATTTCAACGAAACTTGTCACAGGTTAGCTTATACTTATTTCGGGACGTTTTGTTCCTATCACCCATATCTTGGTTTTTTTGGTGCGTCAGTTACGTAAAATCAGTCTATAATGTAAGGGAGCTATACCTAAATCTAAATTCAGTACGCTATGCCAAATTTCGTGCAAAAGACATATGTGGACTTTGGTGCACCATTTACATTAAATCTGACGAAACTATATATGGGAGCTATATCTAAATCTGGACCGATTTTGACGAAACTTGGCAGACATCATTCTAGGCTCAATTCAGTACGTTATTCCAAATTTCGTGCAAATCGCAAAATATATAGGGACTTTCGCGCACCATTTACATTAAATCTGACGAAACTATATATGGGAGCTATATCTAAATCTGGACCGATTTTGACGAAACTTGGCAGACATCATTCTAGGCTCAATTCAGTACGTTATTCCAAATTTCGTGCAAATCGCAAAATATATAGGGACTTTCGCGCACCATTT